TTTTTTTCTGTAAAATAAAAGACAAATTTTTCATTTTCACCAATAACTTTATTGATTTGAGCATTTTGAGTATGTCGGTTATCTCCCGCGTGGTATATATAACACTGATTGTTCTCAGTTAATATCCCAATTTGACTTCTCTCAACTTCAACTGGTCTCCTAACCGTGGAGCATCGTCCAGCAAGAAATCTCCAACAAGAAGCTTTGCAGTCCACTTTTAACACGTTCGATCAGTCACAGCACCTTCTCCATACACTGCACAAATCTTTTTTTTTGCATTTCAGTTGCATTTTTACCTTTCTTGAAATAATAAAGCATAATATGCTGAAAATCTTGTGTATTTTCTTCCATCTTCAATATTAAAATGGCTACACAAAAATTGCACCAATTTTGATTTTTTTTTAAATAAACACTGATATGTCAGCTGTCACAATACAACCTAACAAAATTGTTTCAATGAACTTAAAGACAACTAAGTGCAACTAGAGCCATCTTATGGAAAAAAAATTTAATGAACTTTTCGGCCAACCCAGTACTTTTTGTATGAATAGACTGTATTTTATTTGTTCATCTGTTGATTGACATTAGGATTGTCCTCTTATTTTATTTAAAGAAGACTGCTGCTATAAACATTTTATGTGTAAGTTTCTGAGTGGATGCATGTTTTCAGTTCTCTTGGGTATATACCTAGGAATGGAATTGATGAATCATAGTGATCATTCTATGTTGAATTGTTTAGGGAACTGCCAGGTTTATTTTTAAAGCAGTTGTACTATTAATCTATTCTCATCAGTAGTGTGTGAAGTTCTGATTTCTTCACGCCCTTATGAATACTTAGTTATCTGATTTTTTTATTCTAGTGGTTTTGAAGTAATAGCTCATTGTAGTTTTGGTTTGCATTTATTTCCCTGATGGCTGAAGATGTCAAGTATCTTTTCATTGTTGTTTGTGTATCTTTGAAGAGATGTCTATGTCCTTTGTCCTGCTTTGAACTGGGTTGTCTGTGAATTGTAGTAGTCAGTATTCTTAGGTACAAGTCACTTGTCAGATATATGATTTACAGATTTCTCTCATTCATTCTGTGGATTCTCCTTCATTCTCTTGATGGTCTAAAAAAATAAGTCCATTTTACTTATTCTTTGTTGTTTGTGCTTTTGGTATTGTATCATGTAATCCTTTGCAAAATCCAAGGCTATGAAGATTTACCTCTATGTTTTCTTTGTTAAGAGTTCTTTTTTAACTCTTACATATAGGTCTTTATCTCTTCTATTTAGATCCTTGGTACATTTTGAGTTAATTTTTGTTTATGATGTGGCTTACGGGTTCTGCTTTATTCTCATTTGTGCCAACACAGTTCTCTGAGCACCATTTTTTAAAAAACGATTCCTTCCCTGTTGAATAGCTTTGGCACCCTTGTTGAAAATCAGTTCATTAGGGATGGAGGGTGTATTTTTAAGTTTTCACTTCTATTACATTTCCCCATATGTCAGGTTATGTCAGTGCCTTGTAATGAGTTTTGAAATCCAAAAGTGATTCTGCCCTTTTTCCCCTCCAGAATTGTTTTGGCTATTCTGGGTCTCTTGCAATTTCATATGAATTTTGGAATCAGCTTGTCAGTTTTTGCAAAGAAAGCAGCTGGGATTCTGATAGGAATCATGTTGAATCTCTAGATCAGTTCAGAGAGTATTGCCACCTTAACAATGCTAAGCCTTCTGACCTGTGAACATTGGATGTTTTTCCATTTATTGAGTTTTTTTTTTTAATTTCTATCAACGGTGTCTCGTAGTTTTTCAGAGTATAAGTTTAGCACTTTTTTGTTAAATTTATTCCAATATTTTTAATTGTTGTGAATGGAATTACTCTGGGTAAGCCTGTTTTGTTTGTTTGTTTGTTTTGTTTTTATTTTTTCTCATATCCTTTCTTCAAACATATGCAGTCCTGAACAGACACAGACATTCACTGTATTAGTAATGTGACAGCACCTCTATTCCCTTTTTTTAGTTCTTCCAGTGAACCTGCTAGTCAATGAACCTAATCATGTGTTCGTCAGGCTGACTTTTCATATTATAAGATTGTTTTTTCATGTTTGTATACATTTCTTATAAATTTTTAATGGAAAGTATGTACATATAGACATGACAACATTTTCATGACAACATTCCTTAAAAGCATTTCTCCTGCCCTGGCTGATGTGGCTCAGTGGATTGAGACCCTGCCTGCAAACCAAAGGATCACCAGTTCAATTCCCAGTCAGGGCACATGCCTGGGTTGCGGGCTGGGTTCCCGGTTGGGGGCATGTGAGAAGCAACTGATTGATGTATCTCTCACACATTGATGTTTCTCTCCCTTTCTTTCTCCCTACCTTCCCATCTCTAAAAATAAATCTTTTTTAAATTTTTCCAACCTGGATATGTTGAGATATATCCAATCAACCTAAAGTATGTAAGTATTAAGGACTTGATGATAGTGTGAGGTTATTTGCATATTCCCCATCTCTTCTCCCATCCACATCTTTATCCTCTCTCCTTTCTCCAAACTGCTAAATGTTTTTTTGAGTGGTATGGAAGCGTATTTGCTATTAGAAACAGGGTTTGTTGATGCTCTGAATCGAAGGGCTCTGCAGTGGCCTCTGTTTCAGCCCTTTGCTTCTTTGCTTATGCAAAATGTCTGGGGTTCATGTTTTTGGAATTCCTTTGTAAACATGAAGGGCCATGAAAGTATGGCAGTATGATGATGATGCTTTTGAGGGAAAAGCATTTTTAAAGATATTTCAGCCTAGGTTTCCTCTTCACTTTCTTGTTTAAACATCATGTGTGCTTAGGCATTTTTTGTGTGACTCAGTACCAGATAACAGAAAACAGTTTGGATTGTGCCATTCAGTAAGAGAATTTGTTGTAATCAGAGAGGCAGACTACCATTAACATAAATATATGATAATGATCCAGCCCAGGATGCCTGTGAGAATAAAATGGTACACTTCTTAGTATTTGCCAGAATGACTGGCCTAAGCCTGAACTGTCCTAGAAAAACAGGTATCTGGATATTCTCCTGAAGGCCCTGTCTTCTCTTAGTACCTGGGGAAAAGCTTGAGTTCTTCAAGGGTTTCTTAAAATAGAATCGTTAACTGTCTGCCTCCATTCCCCTTTTTTCTCTCTTACTTTGTTTCTTTGTTGTTGCTGCTTATGATTTGCTCTCATTTCATGTGTATTACTAGAACAGAGTTCCTGCTAGGTCATAGGGTTGTGTTTTCCACCACTTGGGTTTTCTTGCGGACCTTTTAAAAAGTACAGGTGCTTCAAAAGTCCAAGGTGCATCCTTGGAGATTCAGTTGTAATTGGTCTGGGCATGGAGTTCACTTATCATTTATTTTTAAAGCAAAGGAAATCTCTTTTGTTTTGAAATGGGGTTAGGAAGACAATGTGTAATGCAATGAAGTTGAAGAGAAGGAAGCTTTAAGAACAGGATTACTTAGGAATTTTGTGTGTAGCACATTCTCAGTAATATTGCAGAGTAACTCAAACATTTTTAAGAAGATATATAGTTGTTTAGATTTTTTTCTTTGCACCTTTTCTTCATTTAGTCCTTACCTCCTCAGGTAATTATAGCCATAATTAAACATGAGCCAAAGGAATTTCTGGTTATGACTTTTAAACTTGTTTACATGTCTGCATCTCAGCAGGGGCCAGCATACTGTTTTTATAAATGAAATTTTAGTGGCACACAGCTACACCATTCACTTATGTATCATCTATGGCTGCTCTCATACCACAAAGGCAGAGCTGAGTAGTTCATACAGAGACCATGTCGTCTCAAGCCCAATGTATTTATTGTCTGGTCCTTGAAGAAGAAGTTTGCTGACTTTGGTCTAGATAAGATAAACTTGGGAAATTTTAAAAATTGTAATTATTAAAATAGACATGTGAGTTGGCAAGTATCTAAAAATTGACTTTAAATTCTTTTTCCCCCTTCTTTACATATAGATGATTCACCTCCAGCAGAAAGGGAACCAGGAGAAGTTGTGGACAGCCTGGTAGGCAAACAAGTGGAATATGCCAAAGAAGATGGCTCTAAAAGGACTGGCATGGTCATTCACCAAGTAGAAGCCAAACCATCTGTCTATTTCATCAAGTTTGATGATGATTTCCACATTTATGTCTACGATTTGGTGAAAACATCCTAGATGTCATCACGAACTTTGCCAAATTTATGGAACTATTAAATGTATAATTTGTAGACATAAAGACTTGATTGCTTTCCAGTTTAATGAAAGCTTAAATGTCCTGCGAACCCACAATCTCTGCCAGCAGAACTGGTTTTGTTATGAATATTACAGATTTATGTGAACACAAAGCATTTTGTGTAAGGAACTCCTTCCTCTTAAAAAAGAAGTCTGCCTGTTTGGAGGGGAGTTACAGGCAAGTTTGGTAAAAGTTAAGCTAGTATCATAGTCAATTAAAACTGTAATAGATCTTGTTCATTTTCCCCTTCACTCTTAATATTTTCTTATCCTATTCTGCTGCCACAATGCAAGCATAGTTTGGTATTTTTGTTACTGCCTTTTTTGAGATATATATGTATCTGTATCTACCTATCTATCTCTGTGTGTATACATGTATAATATACACACAGATCTCTGCGCACATGTGTGCACATGTGCACACACACTTTATTGGCAGTCCTTTCTTTGTGGATTGGGTTGTGGGTTAAATAATTTTCTCTAATTTAACAGTAGTGCTTGACCCAAGTCATTCATATTTAATAAATTACTGCCTTTTACTGAAAATTAAATCTGGGCACAAGAAACATGTAGGGATGTTCAGCTTGTTTGAAAATCAGAAGTTCAGAGCACCTTCTAAATTTGGAGGTTTTAAACCATAGGTCCCAAATATGAATTCCTTCTTGACAGTTAATGACCCACATTAGAATTTGATAAAACAGAAATCTGGATGAAAGCCTGCCATTAAGTCTGAGCTTTGTAAATGTTTTTTTTTTTGTTTACATTTTTAATCAAATACTTTTTTTTTTTTTTAAGCAAAGCCCAGGTGCTTGGTCCACACAGTGTAATGCCAGTGTATTTTGGGCGCACATTGGGTCCATTATTTGTACAAATCAGTAATCTGGATTTTGGTACACAGATTTAAAACCAACAGCACATCAGTCATTTGTGTGTATGTGGTAAGTTCCTGGAAGAACATAGTACTTTTTATTAATGTAAGTTGGAAAATGACAGCATTGCCCTTTAACAAGTTCTCTAGGAAACTTGTGTTTTAATTACTGTTATTACTAATATATGATTATGGTCCAAAGGCTTTTTTCCACTGGCTTTCCCCACAAAGAATATCTAGCAAATACTAGCTAAAATCCCCTGACACTATATGTCCTTGCTCACTGTGTGCTGCTGCTGGGGACTCTCTCATACCAGGGTCAGTTGGCCATACTCATTTGTAGGTGTGACTGATAGCAGCCTTTATTAGCCACAGACTCTTTCCATGGCTTATTCCTTCAAGGTTGTTTTAACCAAAAAAGTAGTTGGTTTAACAGCAAGACACCCACCTGTCACTTTGTTTTAGATAAGCCCTCATGGTTTGAAAGCTAAGAGGCCTTATGTGACACCAGTCTATTGGGGAGGTTGGAAATCTTAACTGAGATTTGGGCAGAAGACTAACCGATCACGCTATCAGTCAAACATTAGAGGTCTATGCAGCCTCCTTTATGGCCGTCCTTGATGTTAGGGATTTTGTAGTTCCAAGGTCTAATGTGTGGTTCACATGATGCCCACTTCATCTTCAGGAATGATGTATCTAGTTCTGTTGGATGGTCACCTCACGCACCATGTACACACCCCGCATTTTCTGCAGCATGTCCAGTGCCTCAGCAGCCAGGGGCAAGCTTCTCCTTGCAGTGAGTACCCAGGTCTTAGACGCCCCTCCCTTGTTTGAACCAGTGTCATGCTGCATATATGTCAGCTGTTTTCCTGATGGTTCTTGTAGGAGTGCCTGCATTTGAATCTCAAGGCTAAGCCCAATCCCCCAAGCCCAAGTGAACATGTGTGGCCCAGTGTGTCCAGCACGTGCACTACACAAACATAGCACAGTGACTTTGGGCTGGAAAGCAAAGTTCTTTGGAAGTATCCTGCAGGTTGGGTCAGTTGAAACATTTCTAGCATTACTTAATGGCTTGTATTGTGGTTTTTCTGCAAGTACCTTTAGCAACTTCAGTACCACATGATCTGCCACTCTCTAGATGAATGTGACAAGTGATTATTGTTATTATTTTAATTATTGTTTCTGGGGGATTTTGTTTGTTTGATTGTTTGTTTTTGCCTTTAGGGCTGAAGGAGGGGAAAGGGGTTTTTGTTTGTTTTTCCATTTTTTTCTTTTTTTCTTTTTTGGTGGCTTAAACCACACTTAGTGATGCTGTGACTAATCTCCCTAGCCGAGTATTTCAGGCTTCATTTTAGGCTCATGTTTCAGATCTGCATGCATTGCTTGCATTTTCCTGGTATCTGGATGTTGGTTCCTTTTCCTAGGAATCCAACATTAATTTCCAAAATCATCATGGGACTTGTGACAATACGAGACATGAATCTCTGTATAAAATGTATTGGCCTTCCTCATTGACCTGCTATAGTATTACTGTGTCCTGTGTGCGTGTGTGTGATGTCTGGCTGCCACGGAAAGCTTCAAAGGAAAACTTTAAAAGCAGACCATCCTTTTTTGCATGCTCTATTCTAAGTAGAATGTTCAATGTAACTAACGAAAAATGCATGTTGAAGATATTTAGGTTTTTTTGTTTTCTATCCTTGTTTTTACTTGTTTTCAGTTTTCTGTATATTTGCTTACTGTGCTGTCTTAGTGGTTGTAGGATAAAATGCACTGGTGAAGCAAACGTAGTGCCAACAGAAGGTGACTTTCCACTTGTATGTGTCATGCAGCATTTGAAGGGACTGTGCATCTTAAAACAATCACAGTTATCGGTAGACCAGATTTCATTTCTATTATTGTTTTATGTGCCAAACCCCGAAGTGCATTGGGCTTGAATCTCTGAACGTTGTGGACCCATTAGAAAACTATTCCGATTGTTACAAATTGTAGTGCCTGAAAACATTCTTAAGCTGATTGTCTTAAAAAAAAAATGAAACTTTTCCAAAGACAAAACAGGAACAAATAATTATGGTCAAAATGTCTGTGGTTCCTTGGAAATGCTGCGCTTTTTGTATTTTCCATCATTGTAGTGCAGTTTGAACGAATGTGTATAGTTCAGAGGTCTTCGTGTTCGCATCTTAAAATTAGGTAATGACCTCATCTTTCAAGCTTGAATTCATTTTTAATTTTATTTTTATTTTATACAATGTGTAGACAGTTCCCTGTTCTCTGCATTTAGAAGTATAAACAATATAAATCTGTTAATTCTGTAAGTAATTTTTATAATTATGATGTAACTCTATCTTATCCTTAAAACATTTAAAATAAACCCTTTATGTGCAACTTTTGACTGTAAATTTTGTGCTCATGAGAAAAATGTGATGTCTTAAACCTTCTGAAAAAAGTTTTTAAAGATTTACTTTAAGACTTTAAGTAACTTTATTTACCCCTTTTCACCACATGTAAATGTCAGATATACATAGAAACAGAAATAGAATTTTCATTTGAATAATAATATTTAATATCTGAAAGGAGAGGGGGCATTAATCAATATCCCAAGTATATTATATAGTTCCAAATATTAAAGTTTGTGATTTACAATTAATGAGAAGTTTTATCGTGAAAATTTTAACTTGTTTTAAATAGAATTAAATGTGTGTTTTATACTTTCACATCTATTCTTGCTTTGTATGCTGCCTGTAGTGCTTCATTAATATTTAAATACCAATCCATGAGATTCTGTAGTAAAAAAATCATATTAGGTACTTGTGTGACCTATATGTATGCTTTTTATCTGATGGGTAATTTTAAACGGTGAGGTAAAAAGTAGAGTTTATGATGTGCCTTTATTAGATTGTTTTTTTATGTCTCCTTATTGAGTTTGGCTCAAGGACTCTGTGGTTAAGGCCAGGCCAGGCTGCCTTCCCCTCTTTCCAGAGTGGCTGAGCGAGGCTTGTCACACAGCAGCTGAATAGCCGAGAGGAGGCATGGTTGCCTCTCAGGCTCTTGGAGGAGGAGCTGCAGACAGGTATGGGAAGAAGATGAACCAGGAAGGACAGGTGCTCACCCTGGGCCATGTCTTAGTAATCATCTTGCGGCATCAAAGGTACAGCTCAGGAAATATTTTCTCCCCAAAATAACAAAGCAGGTTTAATCTGAATGTTGGTGGTTGCTGACTGCTGTTTGTAAACTGATGAGCTGGGTCTGTTGAAAACAGTCATCATTCTCAGAGAACTGCAGGGATGGGACTGTCTTCTCTTTGTTTCTTCTCAGTACAGTCACAGCTCTGTATTAAAAAAGCACATTCTTCATAAGTACCTTCCCAAGTGCTTTCCATCCATTATTACATTTAATTCTTAGTTCATGTAGAAGGCTCACTTTTCTCTGTGTTGTACGGGTGAGGAAAGGGGTAGGGGTTTAGTATGTTGTCCAGGATTACAGAGGTCATCAGGACTCGGACCCTCAATGCTGCTGTGTTAATGCCTCAGAATTAAATTACCTCAGTGGGATGATTTGAGTAACCTATATTCTAATATCTGTGGATATTTTACTATAACCTTAATTGTCCTAAGTTGATAGCAAATTGCCTAATAAAAAGTTTACATTAGTGACCAGAATGTAGGAACCTGTCTTTATGATAAGAATTAGAACCCCAAGTTAGATCTTTCCTGCAAAAATAAATATTTTGCAGAGAAGTATGGTGAAGAAATTTAAGTAATTTCCATTACAAGAATGTAGATAGTATTTTTAAATTCAAAGATACTTAAATGTCATTAAATTAATATTTTTAATAAAACCTGGAGTTCTCATGACTGTAGCACAAAATCTTATACAGAATTTTTATAATAATTAGTTTATGTCATGTATTTGTAAGTTTTTTTTTTAGGCTGCTGTGTTTTAGGGAACTCAGTGAGTCTTTCAATTGTTTCTCTAGACATTCTTAGATAGTCTCTGTTTGCCCTTATATTGGCCTTAAAACTTTTTTAGTTTTGGTAACTTAATGGCAGATGATTTGGGGGCATTGCCTTGGCACATCATTTTGCATAAATATGACATTACGATCTTTCTGTATAATTTTATGAGAGGGCAGTGGACCAGGTGGCAGTTTTAAAACTGAAGTATGGTTGGGCCCTTTCTGTGCATTTCTTTTTTACCGTGACCATTAACAGTAGTTGAATAAGTTGCCAACTGTATTGGAGACATGTTCTTGCCTCCACTTTTATCTTCATCCTCTTACATTACTTTATGCTTGAAAATCCATGCTCTGGGGAACGTAAGAACTTGAAGTAACACATAAACTACCTAAAATCTTTTATAGGATTGGCACAATTACATGTAACTAAAGTTCTGTGTCCTAACATTGAAACCATGATGTGGAAAGGACAGAAGGAAAGCCTTCGAAAACCATGATGTTTAACATGATGAGTTGAAATTCAGCATTTTGAATGGTCTTCACATAGAGACTGCAAAAATAGCTTTAAAGTTTTTGCCTTGAATTTGTCTCCTAAAGTATTTGAGAAATTTGGTAGTTACTACCCATGCTCTGTGTACATATATGTGTTATAGGCTGTGGGCATTCCCACTAGAAAAACAAGAGTGACCCCTGGTGACTGAGGCTTTTTTCCTGAAAGTCATTCTTTATTGTGGACTGTATTTGCTGTCTGTGGTTTATTATTTACTAGGGACATTTTTACCATAATGTTGCTTTGGGTTGTTCTGTAATAGTGTGGTCAAGTAGTTCAAACCACTGGGTTTATATCTTAATTTACCCTTAATCTGGTTTGTCACACTAGGAGGGACAAGACTGGTCTTTTTCAAAGCAGTTTTGCAGAGGGAAGCAGTATATTAAAGACTGAAAAACATATCTGAGTGGATGGAGTCCACACTCTGCATCATTCCATAACTGCCGTAAGTGCCTCTGATCGGTTAGAAGGACACAGGAAGCCATGCTGTTCATTTGGTTAATTTATACATGTTCATAAAAATACAGAAATGTCTCAGCCATTGTCATCTGGCCCTTTTTTGTTTGGTATTTTTATTTTTACAAGGGTCATTCTCTGATTTATTAAACAATGGGTAGACCACTGAAGGAGTACTTTGTGATAAAATTCTATAACCGGCTTAGGCTGCTGTAACAAACACCACTGACAGCATGGCTTATACAACAGACATTTATTTAGTCTTGCAGTTCTGGATGCTGAAAATCCAGGGTCAAGGTGTCAGCAGAGTTGGTTTCTCCTTAGGACTCGCTCCTGGGCTTGAAGATCTTCTTCCTGTCCCCTGACATGTCCTTACCTCTGTGTACATCTCTGTCCTAGTCTCCCTTTCTTACAAGGACCCAGCCATATTGGACCAGAACCCACACTTATGACTTCATCTTAACTTAGTCACCTCCTTGAAGGCCCTGACTCCAAATATAGTCCCACTCGGAGGTACCAGGGTTAGGACTCCTGACACACGGATTTTGGGGAGTTACAATTCAGCCCTTAGTATCGTATTAAAATTTAGTCGTGCTTTGTTACTGTTAATCCTAAAATGGAAAAGAAATCTTATTGGCATGCTAGTTATTTTTAAAATAATACTAATTCCCTATCTTGATATGAAAGAGAAATATAATATACTAAAAAGAACATTAAGAAGAGCCAAATCACTGAGTTCCCAATCTGGTTCCCTGCCCACTTCTTACTGGTGTGATCTTAGGCAAATTATTTAGCCCTTCTGACTGTTTTCTTTGTAAATGGGGAGCATTCTGCCCTATGAATTTCTAGTGAGATGGTGGACAGGGGTGTGATGAAACCTGACCCTGATGCAGAGGGGACATGTCACCTTTACGCTGGCATCTATCAGGAGGCAGTGCCTTGTACATACAGATGGCAGGTTTATTTAAGACCTTGCCATGTTTTGCTTTGATTTTTTTGACCTTTGAAATTACACTTTTAGTTCCACATAATTTCATTTATTATATAATATTAGGAAGATGTTCATTTTTGTTTGTTTTTTTTGTTTTCAGAAAACTAACAACTCCTGCATAATAAGCACTGTTGAAATCTTACTGGAATATTCCATCCACATTTTGTATTTTATTGTAACTGAGTGCTAGACTGTAAATCCAACCTTTTTAAATAAAGGTACACACCTGTGTTTTGTTAAGGTTTGCACGCCACAGCAGTCATAAGCATTAACCTGCTTTTGTGAAATGTGTTGCTAGACTTTGTGGTGTCAGGCAATGGCCTGATTGGTAGTAATTTAAGTAGCAGGTCCACTTTCAAAATGTATCACTGCCAAAGTGGGAAGCTGTCTTTAAAAAAGGACAGTTATGCCCAGTGAAATGTAGCTGTGTGTGCAGTGGGAGGGGAGTGATCACTGTCCACATTCTGGTTAGGCCTTGGTGTTCTGTATTTAATCACTGTCTTGTCTTCTATTACAATCTGAAATCAGTCCCTTTTTGGAGAAGTTTCAAAAGTTGATTATTTTCTAGGTGTAACAGTTTACAGGTGTTAAAATTTACCTTAGTTGTTGGACATCTCATCATTAAATTCTGGTGTGGAAAGAAGTTAACATTGGTCCCCACGCTCTTTCTAAGTTAACCCAGCTGCTTTATTCAAATTACAACTGAATATCTTTCTATTAAATGTGTGTTCAAAAGAAATAACCATCAAGATTGCCAGAGAATGGTGACTGGAAGCTTAACAGGAATGCTGCCTGTGTTTCCCCACAGGCAACTGGGAAATTTGGAGGGTTTGGGTATCCAGAGCATGTTTTTGTCCTAAGAAAGCAAGGATAAGGAACTGATGAGGGCATTTGTGACTAATCAGGGTTCTAGCTTTGTGAAGCTCCATGGAGGGCTCATACCCCACAGCTGCCTCTTGGATATTTTAATTCTCTGAAATCAGAGTGGTGTGGTCTGGCTTTTAGAAAACACAGAAAGTGAAATAGAATTTGTATCATATTCTCAAGTTTATAGTGCTAATTCTCTTAGCTGATCATTAGTCTATAGAATGTTGGTTCTTTAGAATCCCCTAGGGCTGTTTCTGCCCAGCCTTGTCCAGTGAGGCCGCAGCACTCATGCATCTGACTAGAGCAGTAGTTGAGGCCTTGCTGACCTAACATTGTATATGCTGCTTCTCAGGCTTTATGCACTCACTGTCCTGTAGTTTATCATGGAGTGTAAGGTGAAGTTTCAAGTTGTTTCCCATTGCTATCCAAACTTTCTTCCTAGTTTCTATGTCTTGATAATTTAAAGTATCCTAAAATTGTCACATTTTGCTGTTTAAAACCAATTCTAGTTATAGTGTCAAATGAGGTGTGGTTTTGGATAGACAACCAATTTAACTTTAATTGGATGAATTAACCAGTTAAACAAGGGCTCTGTATTCTTATTTCTACCACCTGTATTTGTACCACCTTATTTCCCAGCTGGGAAAAGACCAGCTTTACATCTCATATAAACCAAGGTATTTTAATGTTTTCCTTATATTGTGGAAAGAATCCTAGTTTTGACTTAATAGTTTATATGCTGATTAAACACTGAACTGGAGGTAAACTAGAAATTTTTCAAAGTAGAGAGGCCTTTATAATCAATTGATTTATTCTGAGGCTGATTGTTAATTTTGGAGGAAAAAAAGTGACGTCTCTTTTAAACTAACTGTTACCAATATTTCTTTGCACTTTGTGAAACCATAAAGTTTGTAGGGTAAAATTGTCATACCTTTATTAAGAATCCCTTTTAAGGACCATGGTAATATAATTCTGTACTTAATTTTCTTTTTTGATCTTTAAATGGAAGATTTTAAGAATCATGTGTCATGAATTGTTTTAGATGGTTAAGTCCTTGTTCACTGGGAAGTACTATTTCAAGTACCCTTTCAAAAAAGTCCTGGATTTGGGTGACTTTGAGAAAACAATCCCCTCAAAGGGAAATACATGAGTACACCATTGGAGAAAGGAGTGTCAGTTTATACAGTGCCTAGGGTGACTAAGTATTAGAAGGCTTGCCCTGGCAGATTCATCCCCAGTTCACCCAAAAGTCCATTTTTTAAACCTAGCTCCTGATGCAAGGCAGCCAACAGCTCTGAGTGCCTACAGCATGAGAAGCTGAGCACTTGAGCAGATACCAGTTGGAATCAGGACGAACTTCAGCTGTCCTATCCTCCACCAGGACATCCTTTCCAAAAGGTCATGATTGGTGTTACCTGTAAAGTCCAGGGAGCATCCCAGCCCTGATGGCCAGTTGCAAGTATAGTTTCTGGTGATGTATCCTGTCAGCTGGACACAGAGAGGACGAGCATACCTCAGAAGTCAGGATGTCCAAAAGCACCTAAGGATGCTGCCGCCTAGCGCCCCCCTCAGGCTACTTCCTGAAAGGAGAAGTGAGAGTATAGTTTCAGGCGATGTATCCTGTCAGCTGGACACTGAGAGGACAAGCACACCTCAAAAGTCAGGATTTCCAAAGGCACCTAAGGATGCTGCTGCCCAGCCTCCCCTCAGGCTACTGCCTGGAAGGAGAAGTGAGAGAACTGCTTTCTTCATACTGAGGTCTATCACATGACTACTATCTCAGTTATATTCCTGTCATGGATTATCAAGCAGCCCACAAAGAAAGGGCTTCATAAAACAGAAGAGCCATACCCAAATCCCAGTGACTGCACAAGAGGAGTTCAGTCTTGCGTGATTGGCTGTGAAGAGCGGGTGTTTGCTGGCAAGGTTTGCCATGGCAGTTAGGAGCACTCTCCTAGTTCAGCATGGGGATTTCTTTCTCTGGTGCCTGCGTAGGCTGGTGAGGGTCTGACCACCCCCTTCCACCTTTCACCACATATTGGTGACTTGGGATTTCAGAGAAAAGAGCAGCCAAGCATTCCCGGTGGCCTGTTGGCTGATGTGAGAATTTCCTTTTACACAAATTAGCCCCTGTCTTCTCATACCTTTATTTCCCTTGTCCTGTCAATAGTTCACATGCTTTTAATTGTCTATCATGAGCCCAGACAAGCCCTTCCAGAAAATACTTGCTACCTTATACCTTAAAGTGTCTTTTTGTGAGCTTTTTCTGTGTCTGACATTGTGCTTACAACTTACTTTCAAGTTTTTACTCCACTGGGGCAGAAAGGGGTTACAGAACCAAGAAATAGGAACTTACTACACACTGGTTTTATTAATCATTAAAAACGGATGGTCTTTAAGAATGATCTGTAAAAATGAAAAATTCTTAGGTTAGTGTCTCATTGCAGGGTGAGAATCAGCTGCATAACTAGGTGAGGGTTATTAAAATGCAGATTCCTGGCCTTCACAGACAGAAATAGGGACCCAGGAAACTGCAGTCTGAGGAGCATTTCTCTCCAATCCATAAGTAATTTTATGTACACTTAAGTTTGAGACTTCCTGTCTTGGATCTTAGCGGTAGGTAAAATTCGTGGAATTTTTAATATTTGCAAAGCTGTATCTCAGGGATGATGGGGACATGCTTTTTTCTAATAACTTTGACCTGAATCTTCCTTTGTTTTAAAGCTCCAGGTTAAGTTTTATATCTGGGATATCCAACCTTTTGACGTCTCTGGACCACACTGGAAGATAGAGTTGTCTTAGGCCACACATTAAATACACAAAGACTGACAAAAACTGATGACCAGAAAAAAAAAAAAAAAAAGGTCTGTGCATACTTTTTGTGCTATCTGCCACCACAGATAAGCAAAAAAGTCCACATAATAACCCTAATTTATAGCAGCCCTTGATAATCTTTTAAAATCGTCAAGCAGGTTCTCAAGTTTGTGATCACTAATATAGAGAATGTACACATCTAAGTAATAAAACTTGGTACAGAGCTAAAAGTAAGTAATGTTTTAAGTAAATTGACAATTTTGTGTAGGGCCACATTCATAGCCCTCCTGGGCTTCATGTGGCCTGCAGGCCATGGGTTGGACACTTTTTCTATGTCAGTATAAGAGTCTTGTTCGTAAAAACTGGAATTGTGGAAAAGAATCAAGTTGTTTTGTTTAGAGTTCTAGGAATGTGTTTTCCAGGTTGCTTAGATTAGCAGCACATGGCATTCCTGTGTTCTGCCCATTTACAGTTAGGCCATGTTAGTTCTAGGTGACCCTAGTCCTCTGTTGGCCATTAGGAATAACTTCCTGATGGAAAACAACCCTCAGGCTTCAGCATTCAAATGACATTGGTAGCTGTGTCTGAGAGGAAACTCAAGTCACTTTAGATTACCTTCATTTTGTTTCTGAAAGAATACCCAGTACTAGTATATAGTTTTAAAACACAACAGAAAACCTGAGGGACAGGCAAATCCTTGTATCAAAATTATATCCGAGGATGCTGATTCTCTCACACATTAACTTTGGACAGTAGATATCATTTTATAACTTTGGAAGATATTATTTATTACAAGAAACTTTTAATAGGAACGAAGTAGCAGTATTTTATCACAGTTCCTTTGTCACGTATATTTGGAATTTCTCTGAATGACCACATTAGCTGTGTGTGTGGCAGCATTCATATTTGGCTGGAACTTGGTCTGCATGCAAACCATCTGAATTATGACATGGGCATGTATGTTTGAAGTGGCCTAAGAACTGAACACACCAATGCTTACTTTCTAGATAGCTCACCTTAATCTGATTACTGGGCTGTAATCCATAGGTAAACAGAGATCTTAACATGCTTAAGATTTTCAGAATCTGAGAGACAGAGCTTGAATTGATTAATTAGTAATCTGTGTTTTATACTAAATTCCTTGTTACCTTTCTCAAGTGGAGTTGACCTCTGCAAAATGTACAAGTGTACATTGAAGAGGTGTTGGTAAAATAAATTGAGCATCACACCTAATGAGTGCTAAGCAAAACACAACATATCAAAACTTATAGCTGAAAATATCTATACTAAAAAGATGTTAAATCAATAATCTAAGGTTCCACCTTAAGAGCTAGGAAAAGAGCAACAGAAATCCAAAATAGAGGGGAGAAAAAATGAAGATTATCATGGAAATCAGTGAAATAGAAAACAAAAACAACAGAGAAATAAAAACAATAGGTCTTTGAAAAAATCAACATGTTTTGCAAACCTTTAATAGCACTGACCAAGAAAGAAACAAATCACCATCAGGAATGAAGGAGGAGCCATTACTACCAACAAGAAAAGAATTGGACTTTGGCCAAGATGGAGGTGTAGGTAGACACTGTGCCACCTCCAACAACCAGAAGAAGGACAACGACCAATTTAAAAACAAAAAACAATGAAAACTGACAGAAAATCAAACTTGATGGAAGTTTGACAACCAAGGAGTTAAGAAATATTCATCCAGACAGGTGGGAGGGGCAGAGACGGTCTCGGGTGGGGTAGAGAGGACTCATTGCAAGGCAGCAGCTTGCAGAACCAGTGAGGTGGTGGGTTGCAGGTAAACCAGGAGAAACAACTGGGGAACGAGACAGACTGCACAACCCAGGGTTCCAGTACCAGGAAATACAACCTCAAACTTCTGACTGAAAACACATGGGGACTGAGGCGGCAGCAGGAGAAACTCCCAGCCTCACAGGAGAGTTCATTAGAGAAACCTACAGGTCCCAGAATGTACTCAAACCTACCCACCCAGGAGTCAGCACCAGAAGGGCCCAATTTGCTTGTGGGTAGTGAGGGAAGTGATTGAAAGCTGGCAGAGAACAGAGCAAGCAGTGTTGTTCCCTGTTGAATCCCTCCTCCACGTGCAGCATCACAATGCAGTACGGTGAGTTGCCCTACCCTGGTGAACACCTAAGGCTCTGCCCCTTACTACGTAACAAATGTGCCCAGGCCAAAAAAAGTGGCCCAAATGAAAGAACACATCAAAGCTCCAGGAAAAATACAACTAAACGACGAAGAGATAGCTAACCTATTGGATGCACAGTTCAAAACACTTAATCAGGATACTCACAGAATTGGTTGAATAAGGTTGCAAATTAGATGAAAAAATGAAGGCAATGCTAAGTGAAATAAAGGAAAATGTACAGGGAACCAACAGTGACAGGAAGGAAACCAGGATTCAAACCAGGGGTTGGAGCAGAAGGAAGAAAGAAACATTCAACGAGAACAGAATGAAAAAACAAGAATTCAGAAAAATATGGAGTGGCTTAGGAACTTCCAGGACATCTTTAAACGTTCCAACATCCAAATCATAGGAGTGCCAGAAGGAGGAGAACAAGAGCAAGAAATTTAAAACTACTTTGAACAAATAATGAAGGAAAAATTCCCCAATCTGCCAAAGGAAATAGACTTCCAGGATGCCCAGGAAGCTCAGAGAGTCCCAAGGAGGAACATACCAAGGCACATCATAATTACATTACCCAAGATTAAAGATGAGAGAGTCCTAGAAGCAGCAAGAGAAAAGGATACAGTTACCTACAAAGGAGTTCCTATTAGACTTAGCTGATTTCTCAAAAGAAACCTTGCAGGCAAGAAGGGGCTGGAAAGAAGTATTCCAAGTCACGAAAGGCAGGGACCTACGTCCAAGATTACTCTATCCAGCAAAGCTCTCATTTAGAATGGAAGGGCAGATAAGGTGCTTCCCAGATAAAGTCAAGTTAAAAGAGTTCATCATCACCAAGCCCTTATTGTATGAAATGTTAAAGGGACTTATCTAAGAAAAAGAAGATAAAAAAATATGAACAGTAAAATGACAACAAACTCACAGTTATTAACAACAGAACCTAAAACAAAAACAAACTAAGCTAACAACTAGAACAGGAACAGAATCACAGAAATAGAGATCACATGGAGGGTTGTCAATGGAGGAGTGGGAGGGGTAGAGGGGGAAAAGGTACAGAGAATAAGCATAACAGGTAGGTAGAAGATAGATGGTGAGGTTAAGAATAGTATAGAAAATGTAGAAACCAAAGAACTTATATATATGACTCATGGATATGAACTAAAGTTGGGGGGGAATGTGGGTGGGAGGTTGTGTGCAGGGTGGAGGGGAATAAAGGGGGGGGAATGGGACAACTGTACTAGCATAATAAAACATTTGGAAAAAAAAAAAAAGAATGGTAGCCCTGGTCAGGTGGCTCAGTTGGTTGGAGCGCTGTCCATACACCAAATGGTTGTGGGTTTGATACCTAATCAGAGCACATAACTAGGTTTCAGTTTGATCCCCTGTCAGGACACATGGGAGGCAGCCATTAAATGTTTCTCATTCCCTCCCTTCCTTCCTCTCTGTCTAAGAATCAGTAAGCATATCCTTGGGTGTGGATTTAAAAAAATTGTAAAGAAATATTGAAATACTATGAATATCATTATGCCAACACGTGGGACAACTTAAATGAAATGGAGAAGTCTTAGACACATTATCAAAAGAGTCAAGAAGAAACAAAATTTG